CTGCTCAGGTCCCTTCTGACCCTAGAAACTATGAAACACTTAGACCAGTGGTTTTCAATCTTTTTTCATTTATGGACCCCTAAAAAATTTTGAATGTAGGTGTTGCAGCCCTTTGAAAATTGTAAGTGTGGGTATTCACATACTTTTGATTGATCACACTTCTTTCACGGACCCCTTAAACATAATCTGAGGACCCCCAAAGGTTTGCAGACCACAGGCTGACAACCATTGATTTAGGCAATTCTTGGAGCCCATGTTGTTTAAATCAAGGGGATAAATGAGGATCTCGATGCTGAAATGCACTTGGAAATCTGCTGGATGACAGGGTCATGTAAAAGTACAATTTGTATGCACACAAATTAACAAATGCATAATCCTGTAAAACGCTTGCTGTTCTAGCAGTGTAATCACCTGCTTCTGCTTGGCATGCTTCAGACCCAAAAATATGGCAGTGAGGATGCTCCAAGGTGTCTCCCACAACCAATTTCAAGACCACTGAAGCAAAACACTGAACTTTAGATCATGTTAGTATCTGGGCCCTTTTCCACTGCAATGTAGGGACTCTCATGAGAAGTAGCCCTTTCCATATTTTGCAGAGGTGAAACTGATCCTTCTTAAATGATTTGCCTAAGATTATCCAGGGACTAGCGTAAGGTATTTCCAGGAAAACCTTGGAGACATTAAGTTCAGGGACAGAGGATAAAGAGTTCAGGACAGATGTCCCATTGGTGTAGACAGGGTTCCCATTCATGCTTTCTGTGTGGACGTGTTTTTCTCCTTTTTAAACTGGGGGTGAGAACCTTGGCCTAGGTCAGGGTTAGGTCTTCACTGCCATGTCCCATCACTCTAGTAAAAGGCCTGGATAATGTTGAAGTGCTGCATCCCTCTGAAGAGCTGCTGCAACAAAAGCATTATCCTTATTGGGTAATAGCATTAATAGTCATGGGCTGCCTGCATATGGTAAAAGGATAATGTTTATAGAAATATCAGAACTGCCATACTGTGTGAAGCAAGGGTCCATCTTATATATCATCCAGTTGCCAGCAGTGGCCTGCAGAAAATGCTTCTGAGGAAGTAGAAAGCAGACAGGTGTAGAATTCTCTCTCCTCCACAAAGACTACCTACCCCTCATAGAAATTATAGAAAATCACAGAGAAGAAACGCTAGAAGAGACTTCCAGAGGTCATCTAGTCCAACCCTCTGAAAAATCATTCCTATCCAAACCACCCTATACAAATCCATAATCTAATCTCTTATTAAAGTACCATCGACCCTGACATAACAAAAGACATAACACCCTAACTGCCACAAGTAAAGCAAGGGAACCAGAGCAGCCAGTGTCCTGCCTCTGTAAAAAGTTGTCAATATATGCTCAAGAGATCCCAGGCAGAGGGCCATGCCCTTCCACCGCCTACTACAGAGGAAGGCAAAAAACCCCATAGTCTATACCAATTGGGGTAAAATTCCTTCCTGACCCAAAATATGGTAATCAGTGCGACCTTGAGCAGAGGGGCAAGACACCTCTGGTAGTCTTTAGACTTGAATCAGTGTTGCCCACCTCTGATTTACCCCTTTTAGAGTGAACTTTTAGAGTGAACATTGAGAAGCCCTGCATATAATAGCTTAGTAGCTTAACCCTCAATTAGCACAATATTATTGTTCCTTTTACCTCCTAATGTCTTGCTTTTCATTTCTTTACCACAGTTGTACATTGAGGAAGTCTGAGTGTCCATAATAGTGCTCAGAACATAGCAAGGGCATCTTGTGCCCAAAAGCTTGTCTAATATATCTTTCAATCATACAGTTGGTGCAATAGAAGATATTACCTCACCCCACAAATCCAGCTTCTTGACATTCCCTAGACCCACCACAGCAACAACAGCACTACTACTACAGTTCACCACCCAGTAAGGGCTAATGATTTCAATGTCCATTCCAAAGTCCATCAAAATGGACATATTTCATTTGTAATATTTCAAGTTTAGAACAGTGTTTGGCAGGGTAAATTCTGTACCAAAGCAGCAGTAATAAAAAAAATGGGTGAAATACTAATCTTTCTTTTTAACACAGCAAGGTTCTCCCACTAGAATAATTTTGCTCCTCTTACTAGATTTGCAAATCTCAAACTCTGCCCAGTGCCCAGACAGTTTCTGGCTTGCTGTGCAGGGATGTCATTTTCTAACTTTCTCTGAAAATGAATAGTCCCTGGAATACAATAGAATGTGTGTGGCCTACAACTAGTCTCACTCTTTCTGGGAAGCACAAAAAAGCAGGGTACTATGGAGGTCTGCAATGTTCCTCTTTGCCAGGTCTCTGATCAAGAAAGAGCTTAGAAAAAAAGCTGCTGTGCCAGATAACTGAAGAAATAAAACATTCTGTAATGCAGCACGGGCACCTCTTTTCTAAGATTATAGGTAGAAAACCACTGGGTGAGAACATAGTTACTCGTTGTTGAGATAATCCCAGCCCTGGGGAATAGACTAAATGGAGGGTCTGCTAGTAAAAGCACATAGGTCAACATAAAAACTACATAGAAGGAAACAGGCAATGGTTTTTTTGTGGTAGGTTTATGGGTAGGAAACCACGGGAAAGAGTCTGTGAATTATTCATGTCTGAAATGTTCCTTGCCAACACATACAGCCAATCTGTGCATGTTAGCAACAGCCACCTGTTGGATTTATTGGTGCAGCATATGACCATGAAAGGGGAACATTTAGGCTGTGAAGAGGGCAGCCAGAATTATTTCAGACATTCTACAATCATTTATAATTTTCAGGCAGAGAACCCATCTGAAGTCTGGTGAAGGTGTAAGCTCGACACTACCATATCCCTCTGTACGGCTTACTGTCCAAAGACTACACTGTGCACTCATTTTGAAGTTGAGATTGTCTGCCTTATATATGAAAACACAATATAAATAAAATTTTACTACACTCAGCTATTCTTCTGAATCATAATCCTTTATGAATAGCAACTGTTTCAAGCCAAAGGATCATTACAATATATATTGTCTTACTTCAGTTTTCCAGCATGGGTAATGATGCTTTTCTGACACAATTTCAACAAGCCTCAGTGGTTGAGAATGCCACAAAGCATTGTTTATTAATTTCAGACTGAAAAGCAGATGGTCTTTGTGATTGAAAGCCAAAAAGATCTGCCTAGCTTACAAAAATACATACCTTTTGGCTAGAGCTGCCCTGAAGAATTAAAAAGTATGCTGGAAGTTACAAAGTTCTCTCTCTTTCAGAAAGACATACATATTTACTATGAATCAGGTGTGAAATATTCATTATTCAATCCTGTTATCATGACAGGTACAATATAGAACACAGAATAGGAGAAAATATCAAATGAAATGTCTATGAAAGAATGGGGATATATTATTTTTAAAAATCTTGATTTATTTGCTCTTCAGAATATACATGATGGGAGGTTTCTTCCTATTTTTCTTTAAAAAATAAATAAAGCTCATGTATTGGCATTTGGAAGTGATAATAGCTTGGTGAAAGCTGTATCTGTGATCACTCCTTCAATCCCTTCGCAGACAGTTTCCAAGTGACAGATCTCTACCCACTCTTCTCTAAAACTGAAACTCCCTTGTTTAGCACCCACCTAAGCTGGACGGATCACTTTTTCTAGATCAGCTGTGTCATGGGCAGATTTAGATTTTCATCAACAAAGAATAGTAACTGAGTTCCTTACTTATAAAACCAAGCACTTTAAAAAATATGCAACCTTTTAGTGTATTATTTAGCCTTGGAAGTGATGGGCAGTAATAAGATATAAAATGTAGTCAGTGCACATACTTGGTATTTCTGACAAAGAACAAAATTAAGGTTCTTGGAAGTCTCAGTGCCTCTTTCTCCACCCAAAAAACAAATTCAATAGCACTATGGGGACATTCTAATATGTTTTTGAACAAGAAGGGGAGCAAAGTAGTTTGCTGACTGAAAGTACTGCAATGCTTCACACCAGAACTACTAGCACTAACTGTAGGGAGAATGTAAAGTAGGCCATGGGTCCCTCTACTTACCCAAGTAGCTTTGAGATCTTCACTGCAATTGCA